TTCCTGGGCCATCGCAGGTATCTACCGAGATGGTTACAGAGACCTCCTGGTCAGTGGTGAGAGAAAAGCAGATGCTTCCAGAAGGTAGTGCCAGGATGGGCTCTGTGCTTGCCGGGGACACACATAGGCTTGTCCCACGCAGGCCGGCGTCAGCTAGGCGTGGGTCTGGGATTGTCCACCCTGCCAGCTCCTACCCTGCAGCACCGGTGAGTCTCTCTTTCCCATGTGCTGTGAGGTGGGATCCAGCACAAAAGCTGCTTCCAGAGGGCAGCTGGCTGAAGGCAACTGTGTGAGGGTTGTTCCTGCCCTGCAGCTCACACCACGCCCCACTGGATCTGTCACTTGGGTTCAGCCTGTCCTTGGGACCTGAGCATGCAAGAGAGGGCACAGAAGGGGGGCTCCGGAGGCAGGTTGGCACAACAGTTTTGGCACGTGGAGTGAGAAGTGCAGGGATAATATAAAGAGAAGCTTTTTGAGAAATAATCTGCAACCCTGCATCTTACCTGGGGACTTGCATTATCTAACACTGCTCCATCGGCTGAACTCACAGGAGATTCAGGACAAGCCTCTCCTCCTGCTGATGAGTTGTGCCAGAATTGGCCTGGTGATACAAGTGAATTAACACTACCTAAGGGAGTCTGGCTAAGTCTGTGAACAAAAACTAGTTTCAGACAATACAAGTGCATACAACCAAGTCTGCCTTTCAGGGAGGACAGGTAAAAGTGGTGGGATACAGCAAAAACACACTGAAAATGGCCTGTTTTCACACTTTTCTACATAACGAATAATTTTTGTTTTCTTTCAGAAACAACCTTCCCATCAATCCAACCCTGAGGCAGTTAAGACAGGGGACCCAAAGCTACAGCTAACCCATATCTGCACAGCAGGTTAAGAACAAAATATTTCATTAGAGTCTTGAAGTCTATAACTCAAGCTGTGCTTAAGCTTGAAGATCAGCAGCCACAGTTCCACTTGATTACACCGGAAACTGAGACAATCTGGAACTTCTGAAAATCAAGTCTAGAGGCACTCAGAGTTGCCACCAGGCATAGACTGAAGGAAACTTTCTGATGGTTGCATCTAGTATTTGGAGCTTCACTGACCTGGAAAATAATACATGGGGCATATTCTCCATATTACTCAAGCAGGTTCTACATG